CAGCCTTGGCACAGGCCCTTGAAACCACCGCGAACTAGTAAAACTGATGTTTATAACCAATGGTGTCTATCGCACTACTAGTAGTTGCATGCTTGCTTGGATTTAAGGCATCCAAGCGGTTCAAGAGAATTGGAGTTCATGCACTTTAGTCTAAATCTGTTTGAGGAACTGGTGTTGTTTTTGCATTTGGTGTAATTAGTAACATCGAAAAGGGACCTAGCAGCACTTTCTTGTTTAGTATGGTTCGCTGTAAGTCAGCCATGCCCGTGCCAAGGCCACAATACCCAATCATAAGGGTAGACTCACCATGTTGATCATGTCGGAAGATCGGATTGATGGGTTCCTGCTGAGGCTGACGTTGAGTTGCTGACAACGATGGTGCAGATTCGCTTCACACACAGGTTTTTTGCAAAGCAGGCTTTGCCCCGAGTTGGCATTGTGTTTCCTGATACTGAACTTGTTTTCGATCCCAAGAAAACACTGGTCTGGCTAAACAAGTTTGTTGCGACCCGGGACCCGAGCAGGTATATTATATATAATACAAAACATTACAATAACCATATGGTATACTGTAGTCAGCCAATAACCACCGTTGCAGCAGCTGGTTATATAATCTTGTATCGCCCGACAGGTTTGACACAGGGCGGCTGACGATTGTGGGGTCAGGACAGCGCTGAAGACATCAACTCCAAGGGCAAAACGTGTGTTTCCTTTTGACCATATGCCATCCATCATCAAAGCCTGCTGGTACATCAAAGCACTGCACAGTGCTACGTGCGACACACGTGCAAGAGGCAAGGGCTTAGACATTAAACTGCCCCAGAGCCAACTTCTTTTGCAAAACCACTTGAGAAGAGGTTCTTTGCCTTTTGCAGCTTGAAGAACCTGATTGGATAGAGCTCCAGCCAAGGCAGCCAAGCCTCCCGCTTCGGTTCTTGAAATCGCCCAAGGAAATCATGTCGGAGACAGCTGCCTTCAGGTCATGGTGTCCAAAAGTGCTTCACACATTCACACGGGTTTACCAGGCTTTTCCCCACGTAGTGATTCTTGTATTTCAGGGCTTAGTTTCGAAGGATTTGTTGTGTTGTTCTCTTGTTCTACATGTGCCATCATGATTTCAGTGATGGCCAGTTGCAGCCGTTTGTGCGGTCATCTTTAATAGACGGCCACTGCTGTACATAGCGGCCAAAGCTCTGACCCATACTCGAATCACCGTTGCAATCGAATTGACTGCAAGCTGAGGTCGTTTTTTCGTTGCCTAAAGGTGCAGTGGACCTGGATGCCCCAGTGCCCCAATCTTCTTGTTTGAAGGGTTGTCACCCTAAGGATCAGTCTACTTTTCAGATGTTGCTGCCTGAGTTTTTTCTGCCGGTGTATGGCGGCATGGGGTCCTTCGGGCCCTTCTCGCCTGGTTGTTGGCGGATTCGCCAGCAGCTCAATTCAGCAATCAGCCATTGTGCCATATTGTGCCCATTTGGCGGAGACAAAGTCGTTTGCGTCCTTTGATGATAGAGACGTGAAACGCAGCACCGTGCTTGGACTCCGAGTCCCTTGCACAGGCCAATCAAAGTGCTGTGTAGAAGACCTCTGACAAATCAAGGATGTAAATCAACCCCCGATGCCCTGATCCATTCACCAGGCGCAAATGCAAGCGGTCGCACGTGTCGGCGACACAGAGAAGGATCAGTCGAAGCTCTTCTGGGTTGAAAAAGCACTGAACAGCTCAGCAAAGGGCCAAGGGCCATGGTTTCGTTTTGTGATGTAATCCTACATATACACCTTTCATGAGCTGTAGTTGTGGCACTATGTGACACTGGGGCGGGTTGGTGTCATTGGAACATAGGAATGAATGGCTTCTTCAGGGAAGCTCCCTCCTGTCTGGAGCTTCCTTGATGAAGCCGGGCCGGCCCTTCTGTGTCCTAGGTAGTAGCTACTTCAGCTACGGCCTACCCCCCCACGGCCTTAAAAAGCACACACAGAGCGGTAATGAGCGGTGTTGCTATCAGCTATCAGAATCGTATGAATGGTCCATGTCCAAAAACTGCGAAGGCTGTCGTTGGGCCGCCTTTGGGAAACTGTCGGTCCACCTGGCCGCCCAGGTTCAAAAGGAACTGGCCAACCATGAGCGTGAGATGGTGCAGCCCTTGGGCAGATGGGGTGCAGATTGGCCCAGGTCTCACGTGAAGAGAAGAACTGAAAGCATCTGGGAGACCCTCGGAGGGTCCAACGTGGAGGGGAGTCGCCCCTGAAGGTCAGCTGTTATGTGGTTGCTTCTTTTGTCATAAGGAGTTGCAGCCCAGCATATCAAGAATGCTAACCATTTGATCCTTTGAATCGTTTGTTTCTTCCTCTTGAGACCAGAGTCCGACCGTTCTGACGGGTCGTTCCCTTTGTCCGAAGCTCCCAGGCGCTTCTGCGACAAGAGCGAGATGCACTTCAGGCCGAAACAACGTGGCTCACGAGCGGAAAGCACTGACCGTTTGATCCGGGCCCTGTCCGTTTGACAAACACTTTGCGATTCTACATACAATATGTGGATGTATGATTATGAACATGTATCATAAATATATATATATATATATTCGCATATACGTAGTTATATACATACATGCATATATATATTATATAATTATGAATAATTGTTATGGTTATCCGGCCTTCTTGTGGTGTGGTCTGACCATCGAGAACCTTTGTCACTTGGTCGACCTGGTCAGCCTCCGTTTAGCCTGTTGCCGTCAATGACACATTGGTTGCAGCTCCTAAACTGATGAACCTGTGTTGGTTTGGCAGGCCAGGCTTGCAGTCCTGCGCTTACTGGATACAGCAACATCGGAACATGATGAGTGGTCGATGGATTCATAAAGTGATGAAACGTCTCAAGACTTGACATGCAAAAAGACGACATGAAGTGGTCGGATTTCATGATGGTGACGAGACATCGATTTCAAGTCTTTTCTTTTCTCGTTCGCCCCAGCTGGTCGCCCCACCGAGTCGGTGAGGTTGGTTCGGTCGCTCGAATCGGTCGCCCCACCAAGGGGAAGATCTCTGTGGCCGTGCCGCTCGTCGGTGACAGTCCTGCTGGTGCCAGCAGGCTTGGAATGAGTCTTCTCCAGGTGAAAGAGTGAAGTCTGACAGGTCGGACGAGTCTGATGGCTGGTGTTTTTTCTATATATAACATTCCCTACAAGGCAATGACCTCATTTTACTGACGTTGGTCATACAAAAACACTATTCAGACAGGTAAAGGACCAAGTTTTACTGGGTCTTTGGACTTGTAGTAGACTTGTAGGGATTGAACGTTTTAAGTGTTCATTGATAAGCGCCCCCGTCTCCTGCATGGTCAAGAAAAACGGATTCTGCAAACAATCAGATTCAGCAAGCCATTTATATACTCATGTGAACCAGATTCAATATTCATTGTGAAGTGTATTTATGAGAGTATTCCTTGAGGCCGTGAGGCTGTAAACTGCAAGACAGTAGTCAAGTGTCGGTGAGCCTCAGTGTATCGACAGGTCAAGCTCTCCCCAAAAATGTCCGAAAGCCTGGCATGAGAGCAACTTGGAAAGATTGAGCTTTCGGATCAGAAATACACTCCATGCATAGAATTGATACCATATACAAATATATCGATCCATATATATATATGGTGATCCCCAAATAAATAGGTGGAGAACTGGTTTGAAGTTGGCATGATGAGGAATAGAGAGGTAACAGGTTTCATTTGTTTTACCTGTCCAGTATAGTCGTTTTGAACCAGTTTATCCAATCTTCCAAAACTCCACATGATGTCATGCTTTGTTAGACCACTCCTTGGGGAGAAACAAAAAGAACTCAACCATTTGACAGACACATCAGACTTTTTCGCATGACAGTGACAGTTTCACATACTCGGAATTGGACCTAGTCTTACCAACCTTTTTTGCAGGCCGTGGTCAACCCTTGACTGAGAGAATGTTGTTGAAATTCTGCAAGAATCATCTAATCATCCATGAGGTGTTGAGGTGAGGTGTCATTAACGAGATCCCAAATGCTTGGCCAGTTGGCCCCGCTACTCGATTGTGAAATGCTTGGGGTTTGTTGCATGGCAATGTTTGGGTTTGCTGAATCTGTTTGTTCCAGGCTACTCCCATTTGGCTGACACCCGAGCTCCAGATGTGGTGGAGGACACTGCGGAATGGGACCGATTCACTGCTTTTCTTCTCTGGGACGACGCGATGAATTTGCCCAATCATGGTTGCTTGGAGAGCACAGAAGCATGGGAGCACGGGGGCTGACTGAGTTGTTATTTTTTCACTATGTTGCCTTTCCCTTCTGTATCCTTTACCTTTAAAACCGATCAACGAGGCTTCTGGTCAGCGGCTTTGAGACACTGCAGATTGCTTTGTCGCATCCACATCACAGACGGACCATAGGAAACCTTCAGCCATCTCAGCACCCTTATCGACATGCAAGACCGACGATTTGCCGAGGTTTGGGCTCACACCCCAGTCTTCAAACCAAACACCGGTTCTTGATCAATTCCAGAAGAGACGTTTTTTCTTCACAAACCACCAGGAGCCAGGTTCCGGCCGGCCGGAGACCCAACGCCCCCGGACGACGTCACCACCCCTCACCAGGCACCAGCGGTGGAGGGGGGGAGAGAAGCCCATGCCACATACTTCACAGAGCTGCCTGAACTATGTTGGTTTCTTTTCATGAAGCTCGCATTGAACACTCGAGCGGTAATTCCTTCGCTGTTGCAGCAAGCACGTCTTTGTTCCCTCCCTGCATTATGGAGGCCAGCATCCACTGCCAGAAGCTTGCTAAGGCATGGTTTAATTGCTTTTGCTGCTTCTCCGGTCGCGAAACCGGTTGCTTCAACCGGTTTCCGGTTGTTATTCGTTCTTCACTGACCCGTGCTTGACTGGGCCATAGAGATGATGGGACTGAAATATCCCTAAGTTTGGTGTTTGAAGATGATCCATGGAGTCCATGGATCTTCAAATCCGAGACAAGACACACAATAACATAAACCACAAGTATTCGGGAATCTTTGCTGTTTCATGCTGGTTTCTGAGAAGCGATTTGTACAATTTGCGTTTTGTGTTTTGCTTGGCGGTCGTCCTTTGGACCTTTCCCATCCGGCGGCTCGGCACGGCCAGCGCTTGGCTCTCTCGGCACGTGGCGGCGACCTCGTGTCATGCGCTTCGATCCGGTGGATGCGCACTATGCGAAAGCGATCCAACGGGCCAACTGGGAGCAGAGCGTGGCCATTTTGGAAGAGGCAGGAAAACGACGGCCCAATCAAACCGAAGGGAGAAGGATGGAGAAGGCGACCGCCACGGCGAAGGAGCGGTCTTTTAATATAATAGTGTTTTAATGATTTTTTGGTAAGGCCAGCAGTTTTGGGGGCTGTACAAGGTCTCTCGCTTTTTTAAAACCGCTACTGAAGTCAATTCGCTTCCGTTAGTGGAGACATGTGGCACAGTCCCATTTGCGCCTTTCAATGGTTTTGTTTTATTCCTAAGCTCCAACGACTGACCCGCCCGTGACTGCCGTTTTTGTGTTTTTCTTTTTTTCAAAGTTGCACAGGGCAATCAGGAACCATCCTAGATGGCCTTATGGTTGAGCAATTAGCAGTTGGTAATATTGTTTTGAATTCAAGGGCCTGAAACCTCTTGCATATTTGATTGGTGTTTCCATCCACTGCAGGCGTCGCAAGCAGAGTTGCAACCTGGGATCATGAGCTACACTGCCGCCATCAAGCACTCTGGTCCGGAGAGGGGGCAGGCAACGAATCCTGTATGTGAAGCTTTGGGCAACCACTATGGATTGCTATGGGTCCTTGTTACTAGTAGTAAGGCCAGGAGCCCCTAGTAGCTTCTTGCTCCTAGTAGTAAGGCCAGGAGCGGCTGACATGTGGATGATGCAATCATTTGCCTGGATAGGCATTTTATAGTGGCGGCTGCTCTTTTTGCATGATGTCACAAAGGCATTTCATAGAGGCTTGGTATGTTGCAAACAGGCATTTCATAGAGATCAGAGATGGGAGCGTTTCTCTACATTTCTCTTGTCCTTTCTTGTCCCTTCCACCATTCATTTGTTGATCAACGCTTGATCACTGCAATGTGCATTTTATAGATTGTAGTCTGTGTTGAAGCTAGGGTCTTTTACACCCCTGGCTTTTGCATTTTATAGTGCCAGGTGTCTTTCTGCCGGAGAAGTCAGGGTTGACATTTTTCAGAATCCTGCTGACAGCTTTTTGCAGCCTGTGTCACCCATGCTTGGACGTTGATCCAGGCATTTTATACACATGTCTATCCTTGCATTTTATAGTGAATTTATGTCAGGGTATGCACTTTATAGACACAATTTCTCTATGAAATGCCTGGATAGACACCCTACCCAACAATTACAGGGGATGAGTTCTAGAGGTTTGGAGAGGGCGTGCACGCCATTGGTAGTAGAGTGGTGCGTCCCACGATCCCACGAAAGTATGCTCCTGTTGCATCACATTTGTTCCAACAAAACATCGGATGGGAAGCATGCAGGATATATTTGGAGTTTGAGATAGAGCAACAATAAACTACTAGTAACAAAGGGCATCGCTACTAAGAACAAGAAACTACTAGTAGCTCCTGGCATTACTACTAGTAGCAAGAAGCTACTAGGTGGAGGCCATCGCTATTAGGCTGGAGGCCATCGCTACTATAGTAACAAGAAACTACTAGATGTAAGTCGACATTGATATCTTATTTGGCCCAGATCACCCCAGATCCAAAACTCTAGACCGGTAGACCAAACAATACCTGCAAATGTTGTTTAAAGCACTCAGTTGGCATTGCCATTCATATCTTTGAATATAACCTCCGCAGAAGCCAAGGCGTTGCGCTTCTGAGCATTCTACAATTCTTGCACTATTGGCTGAGATGGACAAGAAGACCTTGGAACTCGATGCAGCGCTTGAACTTCAATCTTAGCATGTTTGGCAGCTTTCCCTGGCAAACCATGCCGGTCACTAGTCACTTGTGGAGTCATTAAATAAGTGATGTGATAATCTAGTTGTTTGGATCCGTTGCTTTACAACCTAGCCACCTGGCCAGCTTCCTTGAGTCAACCGTCCCCTCGGCCTCGAAGCCTCGAAGCCGCAGCTCGGCCACTGCCCGTCGAGGTGTCCATAAGCAGTTCCATATGGGCCTTGGGAAGCGACTGGGTGACCAGTTTGGCCATGCTGGCGCCTGGACGGCAAGCTGATGAATGTGGCACACAAAGTGTGGCAGGGGATGGCAAAGGGGGGTTTCATGATGAAGCGTTGAGAAGAACATGTTATGCACTTATATTATATTATGAACCATTTGTGTTACAATTGTTACAGCTATATTGTGCCAATTGATTAAGAGGTCAACACAAGGCCTGGGGTTCATTGAGGGCCTCTTATGTTGTTTGCAACAGTTTTCTTTGAGTTCGCAAAAGTAGATACCATTTTCACATCACCCGTCCCAATGTAAAATTATTTCACCGGACCCGTCACCTACTAAAATGTTTTTTTTAAATTAATTATAGCTGTATATTATTTGGGGCAACCCCGTTGGTGGTGGGTGCCAGATTAATTAGGAGAGGTGGGTATGAGGTACCCTAAAATAATTAGCATCGTATGAGAAGCTGAAGGTCCACCACCTACCAAAATAATTTCAATCACGATGAAGTATGTATATTATGAAGGTAGTCCCTAGGAGGTCAAGGACCTAGTAAAATAATATAAATTAATTAAACATAATGATATTTGACGATCAAGAGACCCCTGAAATAATTTCTGGAGAAGGCTAAGCAAAGGATGAGGAAACGGTTAACTATTTTGAAACAACTAATGCATATGATACATGACGATCGAGAGACCCCTGAAATAATTTCTGGAGAAGGCTAAGCAAAGGATGAGG